GTTATTCTTTTTCCACACATCAGCTGCAACTCCAGTAAATAGGGATGCCTGAAAAATCAGTTGAAGTGGAATGCTGAGCTCAGGTGCACATTCTCTCAGAACCCATGGTGAAACTCCATCTGGATCAACTGCTTTGTTCTTTCTTAACTCCTTGAGCATTTTTCCCACTTCGGCTCTAGACACCTCTATGTGCTCTATGTCGTTCTCTGGAATTCTTATTGCGTCTGGTTCCCTGAAGATTTCATTTTGTACAAACACACTTTGGAACTTTTCGTTTAATGTTTCACACATTTACGAGGCACTTTTTTGGAACTTTTCGTTTAATGTTTCACATATTTAGTGAATTTATAGAATAGACCTGGTTCTGTTTTACAATTGTCTGCAATCCCCTTTTTCAAAATTTCTTTCTGCCTCTCTCCACACTGTCGTGTAGTTGTTTCTCACATCTTTGTATCGCTGGTATGTTTGGGGTTTGGCCTCTTACTATATTGATTCCATTTTTGTGTCTTTTGGTCTCTGACCCTCTTGCAATTTCTGATGAACCAATCCTGTTTCCTAGTTCTGCATCTCTGCTTTAGTATAATTTTTTTTGTGCCTTTATCATATATTTCAGAAAACTTGACATACATCTCATTTACTTCCTTGCTTAGCAACAGGTTTGTTCAATTATACTCACTAACAAAATTTCTAAGGTCGCCATAATGTCCTCTCCTGAAGTCAGGTTTTTCAACTGCTTCAACCTCCTTATTTTCTTCCAGATTATAACACATTGCATACTTTAATCCCCAAAAGACATGGTCACTTTTACGTAAGGGAGAAAGGTACTAAATGTCAAATATATCGTCCTCCTTCCTGGTAAATATCAAATCTAGCATTCCCCTTTCCTCATCCTCGTAGCTTGTTTAACATGTTGATACAAGAATGTTTCCAAGATGAGGTCTACAAATCTACAGGTCCAAAAATCCTCTGTTCTAGCTTCATATGCTTCCCAGTCTATGGATTTCAAGTTGAAGTCACCGACTATCAACAGTCGTGATCTATCGTTATCCGCTCTTGCTATAATCTCTCTCATTATTGTTATAAGACCTTCTCGTTTACTATCTAGCTCCTCCTTTGACCATGTGTCGTTTGGCGGTGGACTATATGCATTTATGATCATTAATTTATGATCCTCATGGCAGATCTCTAGTGCTATTACAGTATGTTAACTTCTCGTGGATTGGCAATAATTATTTCGTTCACCTTTAGGTGTTCTCTCACCAGCACAGCAGCACCACCACCTTTAATAATTTTTCTGTCCCGTCTCCAAATTGAGTAGCCTCTTGGGAATATCTGAATAAAATTGAATAAAATAAAATTGGGATTGAGTCTGAACTTCACAGTGCTGGTCTGCTCGTCGGGTTGGGTTTGGCTTCGGCGTCTGTTTGGTTCCTTCAGGGACTCCCCTTCCGCCTCTCTCTCGCAATTGTTGGGTTTGTCCTCTGGGGATCTTGAGTTGGTGTTGCGCTACTGGCTTCCTCTTTGGGGTTTTCGGGGTTCTGTGCCTTGGCGCCTCCCCGAGCCTTCGCTCGATGTGTTCACGGACGGGTCATCTCTCGGCTGGGGCTTTGTGGCCAGTGCTCACTGGGCCGGCCGGGGATGGTAGGGTCCGTCCGTCCGTCGGGCTCACAGCATGGTTCAGGATTTTGTTACTGTCTGGTTTGCTCTTCGGAGGGTTTGGGTCACTCGGGGCTCTCCCATTCGGCTCCATTCCGACTGTTTTTCGGTGGTTCTTTGCCAGTAGGCAAATAGAACTCTGAGACTGATGGCACTAAGCAGTATGGCACTTAAACAGTATGATGGATTCAGGGTGCCACCAGGGCTCACTTAGAAATTGGCATTTCATTACATTCAACGGTGTTTTATTTTTGATAACTGACACCAAAAATAAATGACAATGTTTGAACTGGTTTAACCCTGAACATGCTCGGGGTCTAATATCCTGCTATCCACACAGGCGCATGTCATTTTGAAAAAAAAAAAAAATTTTTTTTTTTTGCTAATCTGTTAAGTTCTGTTCACTGATCACGGGAAAAATAAAAAAAAAATTCTATTGTACTTACTTTTGTTGCAATAGAGCCGAGAAGCTCGGTGATGACGTCACAATCTGCATGTTCGCTCATGCAGTACACGCCCGGGAGGTGTTGCGCGCGGTCCTCAAACAGCCAGAGTTGCCACAAATATATTTTCGCGCTATTTATTTACAATGTCTAAGCGCATTTTATCTAATTTTTTTTCACTAATTGTGTTTCAAATACTGTTTGAACATATTTTGTATCAATAATTGTTGCATATTTGAGTATACACAGGCGCACACAAATGTTTTCAATTACGGATATATGTCATTTCAGTCTATTATATTGTATGTTCTGCTTATATTTGTATATATTTACACACACGCACACGCTATCTGCTTATGTTTACATATTTACACACTCGCACACGCTATACACACTTTGAAGCACACTTAGAAGATTTCTAGACTGTGGTAGTCATTGAAGCAGTCGACAGCACATAATGGGATACCACACGTTTCACACCATGTTTGCACAAGCTTCCGTTTCTTGTCTCTACGTGTCGTTGTTTTACACACCAAGCAATCACGTTGGGCTATTGCACGCTTCACACCAGGTGGCAAATACTTAAGTTTGTGTGCTAGGAAGCCTTCAGTGTGAGCGAGGCGTGGAGTACCAGCATGCTGCAACAGTGGGTTTATGATGGGCCGCTGAATACCTGGGACATCTTTTGCAAACTTTCCTAATAACTGTATTGCAGCATCAAATACAAAGTCACGGAAAGTGGGCTTACGTCCAGTTCTCACAAGGTACATGTTGAAACAGTTCAGCATGCTCATGTCCACAAGATGGAAGAACACTTTTTTCGTCCACCTACATGTCTTCCGCACACACTCTGCAGTGCCAATCATCATGTCTGATTTATCAATCAACCGCATGTTGATATTATAGTCTAAAACACAGTCTGGCTTATATAGTGGTGCGTTTGTTTTATGGCTCACTTTCCCACTGTTCACCATTGTTCTATCATGAATTGTTGTCAACAAGTTCACCTCTCTTTTGTCTTTCCACCGAACTGACAGAATGTTATCACTTTTCCTTCTCTGACACTCACCAACTGCAATGTCGTTGTCAAACACAGGCATTTCCCTTCGTTGTGGCTTTACTGTACCAACCAATCCGGTTCTATTTTCTAGCAAGAACCGAGCTAGCAAGGGACTTGTATAGTAATTATCTGTGTATAAATGTGTCCCTTGTTCATCCACGGAGCCATGATGGTCTTCACTACACTCCCCGAGAATCCATGTTCGTCGTTACCGGGAATGTCTACATCACTAGCCGAGTACAGAATCATGTGTAACACGTATCCTGTCTCACAATCACAAAGAACAAAAAATTTCAGGCCAAATCGGTTTCGTTTTGAGGGAATGTACTGTTTGAATGGAACACGTCCCTTGAAAAGTATGAGAGATTCATCAACCACCAGCTTCTGTGCTGGTACGTAAAAATCTCTGAATTTTCCAATAACATCGTTCATGTAGTGCCTCACTCGCCACAGTCTATCATCAGGTGTTCGGTCCTGAACACTTCCAAAATGTAGACACCTGAGGAGTATCTGAAACCTGTCTCGTGACATATATTTCCCGAATAAAGGTGTTGGTATTGTCTTGTCCTTGCTCCAATAGTCATTTATTGCATGTTTGTGACAGTGCTTCATCAACAAACAGAGTGCCAAAAACACATACATTTCCGCCACTGTGGTATTTTTCCAACGCTGCAGTCGTGAAAATTCTGTGATTTCCCTCTCAATCAGGTAAGCAGCATGCAGGTTCGTTTGGTGTACAATGTATTCCATAAGTGGTTCATCATAGAATGCTGTAAAATATTCCATCTCAGCCATGTCCTCACCTTGATTAGGGAAAAGGTTTGTAATCCCTACATCTTTATCGTCAAAGTGAGGAATATTAGGAATAAAATCGTCACCATCACTCCACTCAAGTACACCAGGCGTCCTGCGAGATGCAGAGGAAAGACGGCGAGGAAGCGATGCATACCGGCGACCAGGAGCTGAATACCGTCTGCGAGAAGCACGGCGGCTACGTGCACGTGAGGTGGGTGCACGTGAACACGAGGGTCTTGGTCCCTCATGTGGTGCCATGCGGTGGCGCTTGGCCGGGCGAGATGCTGCTGACGCGACAATTTCTCGCCCAGTTACACCACTGGTACCAGCCACAGGCTCAATAAAACTTTGATCTGAGTCACTAAACCCAGAAAAGGAGTCACCTCCCTCTGACTCGTCACCCTCAAACAGAAAATATCCACTGGAACTGTGAGGTCGTGGTAGAATTGGGGTAGAAAATGGGCGAGGAGGCATGGGAGAGCGTATAGGCCTCGCCATGGTATGGCGGTCATTCTCACTTTCACTGCTGCTGCTACTATCACCCGACAACTGTGTATAATCCTCATCGTTGTCTGAATCGTCAAACACACTTTCTTCACCTTCAGAGAATAATTCGTGGGCTATTTGCTCTGGGGTGAGGGACTGAGTGGTGCGTGCCCGTGAGGCGTTTGACCGTGCGCTCGCCATGGTGACTCTCGCTAAACTGAGGCCTCCCATGCCATCGGATCGTGAGCTGGATTTTTTTTCAAAATGGCCGCTGTTTACTAGAGCCCCTGGGCAGCGTATGGGACCCCCAGCTACACCGCGGGCCATTCAAATCGTGCGCGGTACCCATACACTTCATATGAAGTGAAGCGCAGTTGACTGGTAAAACGATTTACACTTCATATGAAGTGATGCGCACTTTAAGGGTTAATTATATTATGAAATATAGAAATATCTGTTCATACTGGTACCTATATTCAGGCCACTTGTGCTTAAATTTGTGATTACGTAGAAAAAAATTTCCTATGACTTATATTAAAATAACAATCAGGCTGACTTACCGAAGGCCACCTTGTACCAAAATGCCAATTCTAGAACAGAGAGCATCAGCCTCTTCCATTGAATGGGTTGTCAGTATGGCACTCCTTTCACCCTGTAGAAGTAAAAACCCAACACTGAATGATATGAAACACAAATTTCAAGAGAGGCTTCAATGGCCCCCCTAAAGCTATTTTTGAGATTGCTTCATACTTATTTATTTATTTATTTATTTATTTATATACATACAAGAAGGTACATTGGGGGTTAATAGTGAACATAGAGTTTAAGTTGAAATTACATTCTTGTAAAGCCACTAGCATGCATAGCATTTCGAGCAAGTCCTTAACCCCTTAACTGCACGGCCTCCAAATATGACACCCCCCCCCCCCAGTGCGCAGGAAATAAAATATCTGGAAAAAATTCTTTTTTGTTTTTAAAGTGTCAAAAACCCTTCCTTGAATAAGGGTATAGTAACAGAAGGTCGAAATTGTAAGTACTTTAGCTGCTATGGGGTCTGTAAGTTCGTTCGTGACGTCATCATTCCCTGGTCGCCCATGGCATACCCCCCCGGGGCTGGAAGGGCGCTCGGGGCAGGATGCACGAGTTGCCGCGAATATATTTTTGTTCATTTTCTGCGTACAGTTCCAAATACATTTTATATGCTTTTATGTGCCAATCCTATGTATAATGAACACGTACACAATATTATGACAGTAGGATATCTGTACTGTCCGAAGACACTGTGTTATGTGCATGACACATGTGTACACATATCCGGTACATATTTCCATTGTATTATGCTAATTTATGTATATATACAGTCTATTTACACATTATTCACTATCACACACTATATACATTCCATCATAAACACACTCAGAACTCCGTGAGTGTCAGCTGCCACACCCTCACTCCTCCAACATCCAGTCTCTCCCTCACTCCTCTAACATCTTACTCGCCAACATTGCTACTCCCACCATACTGTTTTTGTTTGTATTACACTATTTACACATGTTATGTATACCAATCTACATGTTTTATTTACCAGAACTATGCAAGTAAACCTGTATTGTGTCCAAACTTTACAGTGGCCATCATACACTGCATGAGAAATCACACAGCAGCCAGCAGATGATGCTACGATTACGTCACCTCCCTCACCAAAATAGTTCCTCCCAACAGACTCCTGTTGCTGTTACTACACTACATACACACATTGTATATACCCACGTGCAAATGTGTTCACCATAGCAAACCACTAAGCAAGTATGATGAGCAAAACAAGAGTGGCTGCCACACATGCTGCCACGATATGTCACCAGCGGAGTCCCCACAGGGCTCAGTACTTGGACCCATCCTGTTTCTAATAAATGTAAACGATCTTCCGGAGGGTATAGACTCGTTCCTCTTAATGTTTGCTGATGATGCAAAAATTATGAGAAGAATCAAGACGGATGATGATAGACAGAGACTACAGGATGACCTGGACAAACTCGAGGAATGGTCTAGAAAATGGCTGCTAAAGTTCAACTCAGGAAAGTGTAAGGTAATGAAATTAGGCAAAGGGAGCAGGAGGCTGAACACAAGGTATCATCTGGGTGGTGAAATCCTGCAAGAGTCAAATAGAGAGAAAGATCTGGGGGTTGATATCACACCGAACCTGTCCCCAGAGGCCCACATCAAAAGAATATCATCAGCGGCATATGCTAGACTGGCCAAAATAAGAACTGCCTTTAGAAACTTGTGTAAGGAATCATTCAGGACCCTGTATACCACTTATGTAAGACCAATCCTGGAGTATGTGTTTAACTAGGTATGGACTCCAGCCTGGAGTCCATACCTAGTTAAACACAAGACAAAGTTAGAGAAGATTCAGCGATATGCCACCAGGCTCATCCCGGAACTGAGAGGAATGAGCTACGAGGAAAGGCTAAAGGAGCTGAACCACACATCCCTGGAAAACAGAAGAGTAAGGGGAGACATGATAACCACCTACAAAATTCTCAGGGGAATTGACAGGGTGGACAAAGACAAACTCTTCAGCATGGGTGGGACACGAACAAGGGGACACAGGTGGAAACTTAGTACCCAGATGAGCCACAGAGACGTTAAAAGGAATTTTTTCAGTGTCAGTGTAGTTAATAAATGGAATACACTAGGAAGTGATGTGGTGGAGGCTGACTCCAAACACAGTTTCAAATGTAGATATAATAGAGCCCAGTAGGCTCAGGAATCTGTACACCAGTTGATTGACAGTTGAGAGGCGTGATCAAAGAGCCAAAGCTCAACCCCCGCAAGCACAATTAGGTGAGTACACAGTGAGGCTACCTCGATTCTTTCCTTTTCTCCCTCATCACAATTCCTCCTCCCACAATACTACGCACATATGTACATGGGTATATACACACATTGTATATACCCATGTACATATGTGTTCACCATAGCGAACGACTAAGCTAGTATGATGAGCAAAACAAGAATGGCTGCCACACACAGTGAGGCCACCTCGATTCTCTCCCTTGCTCCCTCACCAAAATTACTGCTCCCACAATACTACGCACAGTGCTTATTACCACCACAATCCTGCTGTTATCACAATACTGGTCACTAAATCTTGTAAATACATAATTGACCACAAGTTTATTTTGTAAAGGAACCTAAGAAGTCGCTTGAAGATTCTTAGATGGACGAAATAATGCTGTGGTGCTGTGGCCAGCGCTGTGAACATCGTGAACAACATTGAATCACTAATATTTGAATATTGTACACAGTCATTATCACACTCAGGCTTTTCTGTAATACGATCATGGCTAAAAATTACAAGTTATATATATTTTTTTACATTATTAGGCGATGCTGTGGTCACAAGCTGAACAGCAGTGCTGTGAGCTCATGCTGCGTGTGCCGGCCTAGGTTGCTCACTCACTACTGAGGCTCTCACACCTGTGAATGTAGACCACGATTTTGTTAAAGATGGCGTCTGTTTACAAGAGCCCTGAGGAAGCTGATGTGAACCCCATGTAGCCGCCGGAGTTTTGAATGGAACGTGAAAAATACAAATACCCGGAGGCACGTAGCGCACCCCAGACGTGGGCCTGCAGGCGCGTTGTGCAGTGAAAGGGTTAAACTAACCTTAGAACAAATCCTTAAACTAACAGACAGTTTTAGAGAATTAAGAGTAAAATTGACAAAAAGTGTTTAACCAGGTACTTTACAGCTTTACTTTACAATAATAACAATACACAATAATGAAGAAGTAATACTAGGTACAATTAGGAAAACATCTCCATAGCCATATTAGGAATATGGCTTAGGTACAAAGAATAGGGGATTAGATAGCACTAGAAACAGTGCGAAGATAAAGCTCTAGGTAAAAGACAATGAAGATGAAATTAGGTACTTTTTGGTTGTATTTTTGAATAAGGCAAAAGTTGAACAGCTTTTCAATTCATTAGGGAGTGAGTTCCATTGACTAGGTCCCTTTATTTGCATAGAGTGTTTACACAGATTTAGTTTGACTCTGGGGATATCAAAGAGATATTTATGTCTGGTGTGGTGATTATGTGTTCTATTGCATATGTTCAGGAAGAGTTTCAGAATAGGGTTTGCACTTAAAAAAACCAGCGTTGAATGTAATGAAACACCATTTTCTGGGCGAGTCCCGCAGGCTCCCTGGAGCTATCCAGGCTGAATGGATATGCATAACTTTCTGGCATCAGTCAATGCAAGGAGTTCTTGCCTACCAGGGACCATGAGCCAGAACCTGGCCCCCTCTAGAGAGGCACAAGGAGCAATGGCCTATTGAGACCCCCCCTAATGATTGGGAGCTTTCTATGTCTGCATCGACCAGGATAAGCACCCAGAAAGGTAAGCGCCCCAAAACAAACCCCTATTCTGGTAAACTATTGCGACCAAACAATTGAGCCCCAGACCCCACCGTCAGCGACCCAACCATTAGTTCTTAGGCTGGATGTCAGAAACGTGAAAACACCACCGACCAGAGGGAGGGAGGGATGCCGGGGAGCCTCCAGGACTCACCTAGAAAATGGAGTTTCATTACATTCAATGCTGGTTTTTTGGGTGAAGCCCCGTCGGTCCCCGGAGCTAACTACCCAAAGATAAGGAAAAAACAGGGACTTACCCTGGAATTGCTCCGTCCTAACTCCTCAACACGAAGTCGAGACAACTGGCTGTAACCGCCGACCCAAGGCAACGCAGGCCTGACCAGGCCCAGGAACATTCACCAGGTAGCAAGCGGCCAGGACCCTGTTCGATCTCCAAAAACCCCGGGCCCAAATGTCCACCTACGACATGTTGCCAAAGACGGCAGCCAACGCAGCAAATTTACGAACGTCGTGGGCCCAGGGAAAAAACGCAGGCTGGCTACACTTAATAACCCTGCGGACAACTTGAGAGACCCGAGCCCGGAAACAAGGAAGAAGGGAAACTGGATCAACCCAGAGCACATCCCCGGCAACAGAAGCCATGGCGCGCAAATAACATTGGAGAGCTGCAACCGGACACAACACATGATACACCCTCGACCTGACCAACTAAGCATCAGCAACCCACGGCCCCGTCCGGAACGCAGCCATCTCATTCTTCGCCAAAAAACCAGCGTTGAATGTAATGAAACGCCATTTTCTGGGTGAGCCCCGGAGGCTCCCTGGAGCTTATCGGGCTAATGTGTGTTATGTTAGACCGGGACATTAGCTAAGGAGTTCAGACCTACCAGGGACCAGCGCCAGAACCTGGCCCCTTCAGAGAGGTTTCAGGGAGCAATGGCCCTGGAAAACCCCATATGGTTGGGGGTTTTCCTTATCTGCCATCGACCGGGGTTAGGCACCCAGAAAGGTAGGCGTAACAAAACAAACCCCACATGGTAAGAAACTACAACAAAAACCGAACAGAGAGGTAGAAAACTCCCTACAATCCCAAGGAAACAAGCAAACAAGCAAACATCACACTTTACTGCCGCGCCGATCGTCCGCGCAGCCCTCCCCACCCCGGGAGGGGGAGGGGGGAGCCCCGGACCTACCGCGCCGGCTGCCAAGCTCCAGTTCGGAAGCTAAGCTTCAACCAACGCGAAAAAAACCGCCGACCGGTGGGAGG